CAGAGAAAACTGAAGTGAAAAGCAATGGTCTTAACTAATTACAGTTAAAACATTTTGCAGTTTCTATGAAAACACACGAATATGCAATCATGTTACCAGATTTTCTCCCAGAGCCCTGGAAGGAGCTCATCTGTGCAAGTGAGGGAGCTTTGAAGCTGAAGCTTTATTAGTTTCATGATGAACCTGCATTTACAAGCTGGCCACGTAAGCACAGTTTGAAAATAATGGGTCTGCCTTTACGTCCATGCTCATTGTCATAAACCCCGAGTTAAGACCTCAGCATCTTTGTTCGGTAATTGCTCTCGTGCTCTTCTGTCTCTAACTCCAACTTCTCTCCCTTTCCCTAACCTTCCACATTAGCCCAGTCTTTCTCCATTTTGTTTTCATACTTCCCACATCACAATTTTAAGCTGATTACTCATTGCCTCATTGAAAAGATGAAAACTTGATTCTCTAAAGAGCAAGTTTCCTTACATTTAGTAGAGCTGGTGTTTGGATTAACTGCCGATTGATCAGTTGGTGGTGGTGAGTGGTGAGAGCTACTTCTGCCTGTAGCCAAGTATGTGCTTGTATGTATGTCAGGTGTCCCAGCTACATTCATGTCTACTCTGTCATTCAATCCTCACAACATTCCTATGAGGTAATAAAGTTATTATCAACATTTTAGGAAATGGGGCAATGAACTCAGAGTTTAAGTAATTTGCCCAAGAACACACAGCTGGTAAGCAATAGCGGATTCAATTGCAGTGATACCAACTCCCAGTTGCTTAATAACGTCTATGTGGGTTGAGAGCAGGAAACACTGGTGGTTGATGAACCCAAGTTCTAACCATCAGGCTTACACTGAGCATCCTTCAATGTCTATGCAGCTTTCTCCAGTCACTACCATCGGGCACACCAAAACCTTTCTCTAGGCCCAGAGCACATCCACAGGCCCTTCAAGACAGAAAGTTATGCCCAGGAGACTTTGTTCTGTATCCCCATTTGATTTCAAGCTTCTTTAACATTTTGACAATATACTATCCAAAGCACAAGAGTTCAGAAATTATAGGGATGACATAGACATTTAAAATTTTTCTGCAGATGCTAACAGCCCTCAGATATCCGTAAACAAAGCTTACTTTGGTTATTCAGAGAAGAGAAAAGAACACATCTTCAAAAGACTGAAGTCTTTTGAGGGCAGTAAACCTGAGACTAAGTGGAAGGAAAAGAGAAATTATGAAAGCAAACATACAAAATAAATTAAGTAGTAAAGTATCAGGCTATAATGATGAACATGACAACAAAATAACCCAAAGAAAATGAATGGAAATTATTTAAATCATTAAAAAACAAAACAAAACAAACAAAAAAAAACCCTCCTCTCATTGTCACCACTGCTGGGCCTCAGGGAAAAGCAGTAACACTTTGCTTGCATTTTACTCTCGTGCTGACATCATAGAGATAACAGAACCAGGACAACCTTCAGTTTCCTACCATCAAACACAGAAAGCTACCATCATCTGCCCTGATCCTATCATCCTTTCCTCTTGTTCAATAGATCAGAACAACTATCTTTTCTTGTATTTAAGGCCACTTACTTTGTGGATTATCATACCAATGTGTGTAGTCAGAAATCTTACTTGGGGGCGCCTGGGTGGCTCAGTTGGTTAAGCGACTGCCTTCGGCTCAGGTCATGATCCTGGAGTCCCTGGATCGAGTCCCGCATTGGGCTCCCTGCTCGTCAGGGAGTCTGCTTCTCCCTCCGACCCTCCCCCCTCTCATGTGCTCTCTCTCATTCTCTCTCTCTCAAATAAATAAAAATCTTTAAAAAAAAAAAAAAAAAAAAAGAAATCTTACTTGGTCCATTAGTCTGCTTCTTCTATACTCAGGTTTTTCCTCTCACTGGAATATTTCCATTAGCTTCACAATTGTTTTAGTTATCAGATTAGTACATGTATATAATAAAAAAGTCAAATGGTAAAATTAAACCTGTTAGGAGAAAGAGCAGTCCCCTACTTTACTGACACTCCTGTTTCCCAGAGGCAAACTCTGCCAACTGTCAAATCTTCCCTCTGGAACTTACCTTCCTCTATCCAAACTCCAAACTTCCTGTTATGACTATTAATTTTTTTACTTAATTTTTTACATTTTAGTTTCAGACATTATTAATTTCCCACTAAGAAAGATTAAGAGCGTAAAATCACAATTTGTGGTTATGACAGTATTCAGCGTTTACATCATGATGCTGGTATAAAAACATCATTCTCAGGTGGGGCACGTAGTATGCTGATTTCATTCCCTCTCTATAGAACTATTTTGGCTCCCAGGAGTTAACAAATGTTTTTGTTTGTCCATTTGCTTACTTTTCAGATTATCAACCACTAACTTATCCAAAACTGCCTCCAGGGCTCTCTAAATAAATGCAATAAGTAGATGGAAAGTCAGATTTATGGGAATAAGAGCATTGAAATAGTAAGTATATGGGTAAATAGAAAATATCTTCTTTAATTTTCTGCAAAGAGCATTGAAACAGTAAATATGTGGGTAAATAGAATATATTCTTTAATTTTCCTCTCTTTAATTTCTTTAGAAGTGCTATTGACTGTTTAGAACAATAACTATAATGATATTGTACAGTTTATAATATATATAGAAGTAAAGCATATGACAAAAGTGGTGCAAAGGATAAGGCAGTGATAAATGAAACAGCTGAACATGTTTTATAGTCTACATGAAATGATGCATTAATTGCAAGTAGACTGTGATAATGATATATAGTAATGTCTAGAACAACTACCAAAAATGCAAAAAAGTATAGATTAAAAAGTAAACATAACAAATAAAACCGAATATTAAAAACATTTTTTAAAAAAATACAAAAAGCAGGAAAGGAGTAACAAAGGACAAAAACCAAGGGAAATACAGAAAAGCAGTATCAAGACAACAGACGTAAATTCTAACATATCAGTAATTATATAATGTATTTATAGTTTACACACACCAATTAAAAAGCAGAACTTAGATAAAAAAATAAGACACAACTATACATTGTCTACAAAAGACTCACTTTAGATATAAAAACACAAATAGGTTGAAATTGAAAGAGTGGCAATATATGCACCATGCTGTAAGCTTTAAAAAGCTGATACAGTTACATTAATATTACTAAAGTAGACTTCAAGGCAGCATTCTGAGAGATAAAGAGGACTATTTTAATATGATTAAAAGATCAAGTCATTAGAAAAACATAAAAATCCTAAGTATGTGTGTATCTAATAAAAAGAGCTTCAAATACAAGAAGTAAACATTGCCAGGACTCCAAGGAGAAATGAACAAATCCACAATTACGGTTGGTCAGAACATTTACTAGGCTAGTACTACCACTAGGACGCTGCATTAGTCTTACACATACGATTTCATTTGCTTTCTGCCATTTCCTAAGGTTATCTGGTTTATAGTAGCTTTAAAAGAAAATACTTTTCAGTATTTACTTCAATTCATGTATCGTGGGAATGATCAGTTCCTAGAAACTTTGAAATCATTTCCATATAAAGCTAACCTAATTCCAAGACTTTTGTGGAGGTATTTGATAATCGTTTCCATTTTTTTCCCTTGATCTAGTCAATTTGAGCAATTTAGAACTTAAAAGGGCTTTCCTGACTTAGTCCTACTGGGATTCTCTCTCTTGGATTTCTATCCGCAAGAAAAGACACACAAACACAGAGACACTACACATCAACAGAAAGCACTACCCTTCAGCTCTACTGAATTTCAGTAAATTCAGTAGAATTTACTGGGCTGTCACACTTGTTCCTTTATAAAAATGCTCTTCTTCCTCTATGCCTGGCTAGGAACTGTGGACACTGAGATGTGCTACACAACACCCTTTACTTCCCTTTCACAAGGCTTATATTTTATTATTGATTTTAGTAAACTCCTTCAGAATGGGGCATTTCTCTCTCATTATTACATTCCCAGCTAACACAACCTGCTGAATGAGACCACTGCTAAGTTTTTCTTACAGTAGGTGTGTTTAACCTATTCCATTTGTCATTCTAGTTCTGCTAGATCTTTGTAATTTTATCTTTGCCTTCTCCTTTTTTGTGTGTCCTAATTGGTTTTTCCCCCACTTTGCCACACACATGTTTTGGAGGATATATATGTAGTCTATTTTAAATTCTACCAGTGAATATAGTTAAAGCTTCTTAATTAAAAGAAAAAAAAAATCCTTAGGGGCGCCTGGCTGGCTCAGTTGGTTAAGTGACTGCCTTCGGCTCAGGTCATGATCCTGGAGTCCCGGGATCGAGTCCCACATCAGGCTCCCTGCTCGGCAGGGAGTTTGCTTCTCCCTCTGACCCTCCCCCCTTTCATGCTCTCTCTCTCCAGCTCATCCTCTCTCAAATAAATAAAATCTTTAAAAAAATCCTTAAGTGTTTATAACTCAAAGTTTAAAAATCAGTTAAGAAAACATTTTTAATTCCCATTTATGCAAGAGGAAGAATTTTGCACTTTTATTTTCCAATTCCACTTCCCCATCTTCCACCTGTCTGGTTTCCTTTATATTTACAATAGATGACCACTTTTACATTTATAACTTTTGTATTTTTACATTTTATATAGTTTATATTTCTAAACCAGCCAAGGTTCATCAGCAAGGCAAGAAGACCCCTCTGCAGGGAGGCTAATAGCTGTCTCCATAGGTCATCCTGAAGGGCAGGAGGAGGGGCAGGCAGGGTTGGGAGCGCACCAAGTTGGGATGAGAGGGTTGTGGTCAACTTTTACATTTATGGTTGTGTATGTTACAGTAAGTTAGACTCCCTTCTAACAGTTTAATACTCATTGCCAGTCCTTTTAAGCCTCAACTTCCTATGCTTGGATTAATTTTTATCAATATTCATCATTGCCTACGCTTCAGGCACTGTGTTAATATACTACTTCTATATAATTTAAATGTTAACATTAGAAGTGAATTACTACACAGCTAAGAGTTTTTGAGTAAAAATTTTTTTCACTGAAAGTCTCGTCAGAGAAATAGGACTTCAAAATACTTACTTCTTGGATGCTCATGCTACCTATATTTCCAATTTACAAGTCACCCATTGTGTCTAGGTTTGGATAACTGTTGATGAATTCTAGCTGGAGCCCTGTAAATTTTCTCATTTCCAAAATTCATTTAAAAAAAAAAATTTAATCTCTACACTCAAATGTGTAGCTTGAACTTACAACCCTGAGATCGAGTCACATGCTCTACCAACGGAATCACCCAGGCACCCCAAAATTCATCTTTTTTAAAGAAAAATGATTAATATCTTTAGTCACCATTTGTCTTCCACTTATTTCTTTGGCAATATCAATTATGCAAACATTTGTTCTCCTTAACTCATCCTCTATAAAGTCATGGTCTCCAATTTGGGCCATCCATGTATTTTCGCATTAGTTATTCCAAAACTACTCTGGTCTTCTCAAACTTTTGAACTCAGCAAACTAGGGCACAAGAGTCAAATCCAGCCCACTGCCTGCTTTTGTAAATAGTTCTAATGGAACACAGCCACATTCATTCATTTACATGTTGTTTATGGCGGCTTTCATGCTACAATGGCATGGTTGAGTAGGTAAAATATTTACTACCTAAGTCCTTTATGAAGTGAGTTTGCTGATCTCTGCTCTAAACACATCATCTGCTCCCTTTACTCTAAACAGACGACTTCACAAGGAATGAGGCATAAAATATTAACTTTCAGACCAAAACAAAACAATGTGCAAGTCTGACTCTGCATCCATCATTTCTCCCTCGCACATGTTAGGAGCAATCTTTCTGTCTGGTATCTAATTCCATTTCTCTTCTCTTCTAAAACCTCAGGAATCCCATCTGTTTTCTACTTTCTGACTCATCATTACCTTAATATACAGACACTCCTCCTACCAGAAAAGAGAGCAAAATAAGAAACTGATCCTAAACCCCATCCCATAGCTAGTTTCTTCTTTGCCATCTTCGCCGAACATTCTATTGTTCTATACTTGGCGCATCCACTTTCTCACTCCAATCCTCCTTCTTTCCCCACTTCAGACTCCTGTCCTCTTTCAAATATTGAATTCATTTTCTAGTTTCCTACTTGACGGCTCAGCATTTGACGCTGTTAGCCATTTCTTCTCTTGAAGCATTCTTTTTTCCAAATTCTGGGATGAGTCACTCTTCTGGTTTTATCTTTGTGACCATTCATCGTCTTTCGTAAGCCGCTCTTTCTCTTTTCTTGTTTCTTCCCTGTGCAGTCTTTTTATTAACCTGCATGCACCGGTTATCTTCTGTATGTTGAGGATTCCTGACTTTATAACCCAGATCACTCTCATGTCTAAGATTCACATACCCAACCCAGAATGTCCAATAGAAATCTTAAGCTCAACAGGCTCCAAATCAAAATAATTGTTTTCTCTCAATGCTGCTGTTACTCTTGTGATTCCTGTTATCAGTGAATGGTACTACCCTCCATCCAGTTGCTCAAATACAACACCCAGGAGTCCCTCCTGAATCCTGTCTCTTCCTTCTACCATATGCAGTTTATTTCCAAGCCCTCGCAGTATTTCCTCATAGATTTCTCCCTTTTGTTCCATTTCAGTTCTCCTGGCCTAGCAGAGCACTAGCATTCCTCATCTCTTCAGAAGTCTCCTTACCTTCTCCTCCGGCCCCCTGCAATTCATCTGAAGATTGCTAGATTATTGATCATGACATAACCACACGTAAAATCCCTCAACACTCAAATTAAATTAGACTCCTCTAATACCTTCAAAAAAATCATGACCTTCCACCTTCTGGTTTACTCTTCCCTTCTCTTACACATAAGGATGTATCTTCATTCCCATACACATTCTATATGAACCTTGGTCAACCTCTGGGATTTCATATAATGGGTTGGATGACACTCCCACTAAGCTGCCTAACTTCCACTCAATTTCAATTTAGACATCACTTCCTCAGAAGATATCTGGGATCTCCATCACCATCCCAGATTAGGTGGCCCTCTTGTACTCCTATCACAATTCACATATTATATAACTGTGCTTTCTTCAAGAATATACTTATGAGGATATGGGCTATTTATACTGTGTTTACCAAGTTCTGTACAATGCCTGGCACTCTATTGATACAGAAATTAAACTGAATCATCTTTATTTTCATCTATTCTTGTCTTTATGATCTGGGAGCATTTATGAGCCTTGTCTTCTATTGATTCAAATTTCTGCTTTGCATTTCTGGTATTTATCACGTTTGATGCATCTAATTTTGCTCTTTTTCAACTGCATGTCATTTTTATTTTTCCTCATTTCTGCCCATTCCATTTTCATGAACTGCACAACTTTTTAGCTAAAATTAAGCATACGTTCTAATAACCTGCCATGGCAGTAAATCTATTTTAGAGCAAAGTGAGTATCAGAATTGTCAGGACACTGCTTTTTTTGTTTGGTTTTTGGTTTTGTGTGTGTGTGTGTGTGTGCCTGTGCGCGCACACGTGCGGTATTATTATTCCTAAATCCTACAATTGTTTGGCTATAGCTGAATCCTTTACAAAAAATTAAGGATGGAAGGCAATAGAAGGTGAAAAGGAAGCATTCATAACAGAAAGGACAAACTTTTTTGCCACTATCCACTGCAGATACATGCAAATCTCTGATACTAAAAAAAGTAGCAACAAGGTATCACATGCAAGATTTCTACCAGTGTGTCTTCTATTTAAAAGTAGTGATCAGGGGCACCTGGGTGGCTCAGTCGGTTAAGCGTCTGCCTTTGGCTCAGGTCATGATCCCAGGGTCCTGAGATCGAGCCCCGCATCAGGCTCCCTGTTCATCAGAGAGCCTGCTTCTCCCTTTCCCTCTGCCTGCCGCTCTGCCTACTTGTGCTATCTCTCTGTCAAATAAATAAATTTAAAAAATAATAATAATAAAATAAAAGTAGTGATCAAAACAAATACCACTCTTGGCATTCTCTTAGAAATAAATGATTCTTGGGTGGTAGAACTGAGGAAACACTACATTCCAATGTTCTAAAAAATATGTTCAGAGTTCTGGCTGCTGGCAGAGTAGAAGGGGAATGGTTATACATAATTCATTTAAAGTTTAGAATATCACCGCTACCTGTCCTATTTTACTTTAATTGAACAGACAATGTTCTTAAGTTTTTCAAGCCTTCCTTTATTCTTCTAAGGGTGTGTGTACATGTGTATGTGTGCGTTGGGTGTATGGAAGGTTTTTCACTGTGCATTCAAACTGCCACTTTGACCATAATTTTTACGCACTAATTGTGTTACTGTTACTAAACAAGGCCAGGAATGCATTGCCTCAATTCTGCCCTTTTTGATGGCAGCAAATAATCAAGTTGTCAGTTAAAATTAAGGGACAGGAGGACCAGGGAAAGATGATCTTTATGTACTACATTAAAGCTACAGGACATTAGCATAAATCTTTCAATACTGATAATGCATACGTTAAAGCAAATATAGGTATATATTACAGTTAAGGAATAAGTCTTCAGTAGGTTCCAAAAAATACTAGCTTTCCTATGTAGGAAAAACAACTACTATGCATAATTTAAAGTTACCACATCAAACACATGGCTCTTTTGCAAAGCATCATAGCAATCTGAAAATGAAAGAGTTCATATTTTCAAATAAACACAAAATAAACCAATTAATTCTGAATAAGTAGTAACAACTTTATTTTAACTCAACGTGCTGAAATGCAAAAAATATTTTCAGCAACAAGATACAAAAGTATGTATCTCATCATTAACATCAGCTGATTAAAAATGAGGCTGAAAAGTTCAATATAAGTCTTTACACATTTGAATCTTGAAAATCAAGTTCCCCCAGATTTAATTTTTAAATAATTTTAGCAGAATTTTATTTTCAAAAATGGGACTCATTTAAGTTATATCTTCATTCTAAAAAAACTGGATGTGAAATTAACTGGGTTACAGTATACAACGATAAACTCTAACAAACAGAAAAAGATTTAAATATAAGAATTTCTTTTTAAACATAAAGTCCACATACTGCAAACAGAAGACACGGTGTGGTGATTTCACTCCTAGTGAAGAGGAAGTCTTGCATATGGTAGGCACTCAATATTTGTTCAACTAGACCTAAAATTGACATCATTCCATGAACACTTAAATAGAGCTCATAATCTGTATAAAAGAGGTTTGCAAAATACTCTTATGTGCTGAAAGTGCTGTCTTTATAATCTGAAAACAGTAAAACCCACCCACCCACCTCCTTTTGCAAGAATACATTGAGTATTTTTATTTTACCCATCAAAGAGCAAGAATGTCCAAGCAAGTCAGAATAATTCACCTTTCAAATACCTTGTTACGAGGAAAGCTTGTTGAGTTGGATTTTAACAAAACAATTTGCTGAAGTCTCTAGTGTTCTAATTTAGTAACACTGGGTAGCATGTATCATCCACATTTTCAGAAAAAATTTTACTTAGGGTTTACATTTATGCACAAAACTTAAATGGGTAAATAAATCAGTAATTATGCTTTTGGCAATTTAAATTCTAACTTAGGTCTAGTTTAAAAATAAGCTAATAATGTTCATGATAAGTTTTTAAGAGATCTTTGAGAATATTTTAAAACTTAACTTTAAAATTGATGTCCTAAAAAGGCACTGTTTTCACATTTCATCATGCAGTAAATGGTCACATTTTTGAAAACTGTAATTTCCTATCAACTGTCCCCCAAAATAAAGCATATTTAATGAAATATTTCAACTAACCTGAATTTTCAACATTTAACTGAGTCCTATTTTCAGAAATTCACTCTTCTGAACATACCACATGCAAGTCCAAGCAAACACAAATACACACACACACACAGAGACACACACACACACACACACACACACCCCAAATGACATAATACATGCATGGTTCTCCAATGACTATTTCAAGACAATGACACACGAGTATTCAAAGAGGTAACAATGGCAAGCCATAACATTATGGCACCTTCATATTTGTGCTCTAAACACCAATATATGTTAAAATTTAAAAATGAAAAAGGCACAAATACAGTGTTTCTGTATCTCAGGCTAATGAACAGATCTCCAATGGTTACTTCGATAACATGTAACATTTAAAACCAGTCACCACTTTTCTAAGGAAAAGCTCTATTTAGGTGACAAAAGGGAAACAAGAGCAGGCTGATGAAAGGCAAAACTGCTCAGGACAGAGACTGTGCCTACTGAAAACAATGTGTGTAGTTTCAAAATGAAAAAATAAAAAGGCTATTAGAGCACTCACGTCAGAATACATTAAGTTTTTTTTTCATTGCCTCAAGATCCCACAATACCAAAAAAACAAACAAACAAAAAAACCAAAAAATAAAATTCCCACGTAATAAATAAAAAAATAAATCAACTATGATACGATTCTGTTAGTATAATGGTAGGCATTATATTATCTGCAAAGTGGACATTTCTACAAACGTGGATATTCTCACAGCACAGTGTTTGACATTTTTGGTACAAAATGTGCTACCAAACCTAAAACAAAAACAAACCAAAAATAACTTTATAATAAAACCCTTAAGATCTGCAATAAACACTAAAGTAAGTAGGTAGGAGCAAGCTGCAGTGTTCATTATATGGGTGTTATTACTGAAGTCACCATCGTTAGAAATGAAGATGCAAGCAGTGAATTAATTCACAATGAGCCTGTGTGCATTTGATATAAATGGATACACCAGTACTTTTTTGAAAACAAGGTTCTACTGCCTGAGGAATTTTGTTTTAAGACCCTGCCAAAATATTAAAATCTTAACGTATATATGTATGTGTGTGTATTAAATGTGTACACTGTAAATTTAATGGCCTCAATCCAGTTAAGGAAGTGAGGTTCTACTCCCTACAGTATTTTTACACAGGATGGAGTCCAATAACATGTAAGAATCCTTCTATCTCAAGGGATTTTTCCAATTTCAAATTTAAGTTAATATAAGAAAGATTCTAATTAAACTACACAGAAAGAAATGAATATACGGAAAATACAATCTTTTCAAACTACAGTTTGTTGTGAATAACAAATGCTTACTTGAGAATGTTTGTTTAATGTAAATACGAATCACTCTTTATATATTAAGATTGCTTCAGTGAATACCTAACAAAGAGATAACAAAAATAAAATCTCAGGCTTCATTTTTCTCCTTTTGTCCTAAATTCAAAAATTAAATAAACACATCATACAAATTTTAATCTGGAGAATAAAGTATATATGCAAATATATAGGTATATGTGTTTTTTTTTCCAGTGACACTTTTTCCCTTGTGGTCAAGTATAAATTTTGCCTAAGAAGCATACTGTCATTATTACAGGAAATCAGATGCAGTGACTTACCACTGATCGCTCCTACTTCTCTGGGACAATGCACCAGAACAGACCTCCACTGTGAACAGAGCTATCTAAACACTGAACACGTGTATGTGTTTAAAGCTAAATTCATTTATAATAAAGAACTGGCCCATGAAAAACAGTTTATAAATCGTTTATCCTGTTCACATTATGCAGAATTTCAGTATCATCCACAATGTTAATACAGTAACTGAAACAGAAAGGAGAAAGCTAGGGGGGAAAAAAGGTTCAGAGTGTGGCCTGCATATTTCTAAAGGTTCTCTCCTCTAGTCTGCAAATAATGTAAGTTCACTGTTTTCAGAAGGAGAGTAGAGTATTCAGGATTTGTTTATTGTTCAGTTGCCTTCTCCAAAGTGTGATAAGACAGGAATAAATTCAATAATAAATATCTGAAATTCAAATCAATTTAACTATAATCAAGGATATCTTTCTTATCTATTATCACAAACATCCCAATTGCCTCCATCGGTCTTAAAAAATCCTTTCAAAAGTTAAGACACAATTAATTATACCTTATTAATACCTTCAAAACAAAAAAAAAAATATATGTACCATTTAGCATACAAAAGTTACACATTAAAAGTGCATATATATCTTTCTTAATTGGCCCACTCGTTAAATTTACATTTGGTCATCCTTACTTTCAACATGGACAGAATTCTTCATATAAATGTAGGTCACTATAAATTAAAAAAAATTAATTCAGCACAAAACATGCTTTCTTTTTATTGAAATCTTAACCTCAATCAGTTCTCAATCATTGTAAACTTGAATAAACCCACAAAAAACACAAGCAAAGGTTTGTTATGCTTCTCTTAGTTTGTTGGACAGTCAACACACAAACATCATAAATTTTACTAAAAATTTGGGCCAACTCATTGCATATTTGCCCCCTAAAATGAAAAATAAATTAGAACTGAAGCAGTGTGTTGCCGTAACTTACCCTGAAGGTAAGCAGGTTCTCCTATATTTATAAAACTTAGACTGGAGACATTACCAGTAATCTCCAATACAAGTGCTTTTAAGAAGAACCTAGTTTTAAACTTTGAGACAGCATAGGACAAACCCTGTAAAATTCATTTTGCTTTTTTCTCAAACTAATGGAAGATCCTTTTCAAACTTAGTATCTTCAGTTATCAATATTACTGCATTATGGAGCTAGTGCAATCCTGCATAGCCTTAGTCAAAATGACAAGGCACAATAAAAAAATTAAAGTATTATATGAACAAGAGAAGTCATTGAAGATAATTTAAGGCCTTGAAGTGAATTAGAGTATAATCAGTCTAATTTAAAGCTGAAGAATAAACCATAAATTATCCACCTGAAATGCAAGCAATATGCTTTTTCAGCTTCTGTTCTGTGGACAAGACAACAGAAACAACTCTTGCTTATGGTTTGTATATTAGAATCCTTCTGGACCTGGAGGAGTAAAAGTCAATTCCATTTTTCTACAGTTCATGGAAGATTTCAGGACTGTTTTAGCCGTTTGCGTGGAATGCCAAACTGTGGACACTGTGCAGATGCTAGTGCTCGGAAGGCTTCTGCAACTAAATGAGGGTGAGACTGAATCATGGACTTCCACCCTGATGTTTCCATTATGTCCGCGGCTTGGCTGGAAAAATAAAGTTAAGTTATGTTTATTAAAGAGTACTTCTCAAAACACATTAAAAAAAAAAAAAAACTTACAAATTTCAAAATGTTTTAAATAAAACACTTTACTTCTCTATGTCATCAAGCCCCATGAATTCATGAAAATACCATCTTTACCTTACTGGTATTTTCTGTTGCAACTGAAACTATTAAATTCTTCTGCAAGTTCTATACTCTAGAAGTATCTTACACTTTTCTCCATAGTCCTAACTCCCACTGTCACCATTTCTGTACCAGCTCTTTCAAGAGCTTTTCCCTGGCTGTTACACACAGGTTTTCTCTAGAGTTCCAACTTTGGCCCTCTGCTCTTCTCCCTTAAGGTTCATTATTCATCCTATCGTATCCACTCTTCACAATTTTAACTATCATATTCAATGATGATAACGACTGATTTGCTAAATCCTAGGCCTCCCCACAAGGTACACTCCCAACCACTTTTTCTCTTTATTTGGAAGGGCTTCAGGACCTACAAATTCAGAATCGTCAGGTAAGAACTCAACAGGTCTCTCTCCATGCCCCAAATTCTTCCCTCATTTCCAATCAGCTAATGTTACCACCATCCCCAGTGATTCAAGTAAAAAACCTGAGTCATCCTAGACCATGTCCTTTCCAATCAATCATCAAAAGCCCTATTTTAATTCCCAAAGATATTTCAAATCCCCAGTCAAGGTTCACATCATCTCACATTTGGATTATCACAACAGTCTCCTAATTTGGCTTCTAGTTTCCTGTCTTGCTCCTCTCAAACCAGCTTCCATGAGCTGCTTTAATAACACAAACAGGTTTACATTACATCCTCTTCTACTGTTCCCCATTGCCTGTATTCATGTTCTTTAGACAGAGAAACAAGTTTTCCTACTTTCTTTACCTGTGCACCTTGTGCTTACATGCTCGGGCATTTCACACACTGATATAGAACTGCTCGCTGTATATTAACTGAGCATGCAGAATAAATACTGAATAACAAATCTAGTTATCCTCGTCTCTTTTCTCCCTTGTACTTATCCACCATTCAAATAATATCCAAATATTATAGACTGTCCTTTGAAAATATTGTATCTTTCCATTTCTCTCTAGCCCCAACTACTACCACTCAAGTCTAATTTCAACCTTCATCTCTTGCCTGAACTACTCCAATAATGTTCCAAGGTGTCTACCTGTAGTTGACCTCGCTCCTCAACTACCACCACCACCTCGAGCTCCCCACAATCGATTCTCTACCCTGCATACAGAGATTGCTAAAAATGAAAACCTGATCATGTCCTACACTAGGTTAAAACCTTTCACTGTATGCCCATTTCTCTTTGAATAATGTCTTAAAGTCTCAGTGTTATTTACATGTCCTTCTAGGATCTGATCTCTGCCTTTCTCTAGCTTCTTCTTCTCATAACCTCACTCTGACTCTATATTGTTCTTTCTTATCACCCAAACTTTGCATAACTGATTCCCTTTTTGTGGGATAGACTTTCACACTTCCTCCCTCTTCTTTACCAGGGTAACTCCTACTAATACTTCAGGTACTTATTCAATAATTCCTCAAGAAGGCTTTCTACCCCTAGTTTAGGTAAGGTTCTTTTTGCTATATGCTTGGATGGGTATGCTATACATTATCTATTGTTACACTTTATTTCAATTACTTGTCTAATTCCTATTTGCCTCCTGCTAAACTATAAACTCCATGAAGGCAGGGGGAACATTTGTCATGTTCACCACTATATTCTTCGGATAAGTACAGTGCCAAGGGTATTTACCGGGTAATAAATATAAATATCTGTCAAATGAATGATCACTTACTGCTTCATGCTTCTATACTTTGGATTGAGCTATGCTTTCTGTTCACAATGCCTGTTATTTCCTTCTTAGTTTTGCTATTTCCTATTCATGTTTAAAGCCTCAGATGTCATCTCCAGGAAGCCATCCCTAAACCATCCAGCCTTTATCCAGTGCCCTATACATATCTTCCTTTATCACATTACTTACCACATTATAATAATATATTTATGTACTTAGCTTTTATCATTAGATAAATTTCTCAAGAGAAGGATTTTTCCTAATTGTTTTTATATGCAACACCTTAGCATGGTGCTTGAGACACAACAGATGCTAGGTAAATGTTTGTGGAACTAAACAGTAGCTAATAACAACATTTTTCAATTTGCCTGACATCATATTACCTCTATGTCATTATGTTTATAACTTAACTAATTGTTCAGAATCAAATAGATACCTCTTAATATATCTGACATTTTCATTTATTTAATTCAACAAATATCTATTGAAGATCTGTATATACAACAGCTTCTCCAGAGGATGTGAAATAAACTGGCATTTTGACAGTGAAAAAAGTTGTACAATGTAAAATATTTTAACAGAATAAAACTAGAACTTGAAAGTGGCTAAGAACAAAGGATCACAAAATTATCATTTACTGCTAATACATTATATTTTAGAATCAAATGGATTTTTTTAGGATCAAATGCCATGATGATAATGTATTATCAACACACTAACCAATATAGAAAACAACCAATAACTTAAAAGTAGTCACGGATGAAAACAATGGGAAGTAATTAGGTCAACACTCATTGTCTCTAACTCTTTTTTCACTTATATCAACTTTTGATAGTATGTGAACATGGAATTGAAGGGTTTACAGGTAAAAACTAATCAAAAGCAGGTGCAAATTCTTCAAACTATCTAGTCTTCACCTTTTCTGACTTTGAAAAATTACAAAAAGTAGACAAATCACTCTAAAAATGAGAGAAGAAAACATAAGAAGGGAATAGGAAGTTCTAGTAGTTCATATTCAGAAGGCCCAGGCTTAGAAACATGTAACAACTACCACACCTCTTACAGTTTTACCAGGGAAAGGAAAGAACAAATTGAACTATTTGGGAATATTAAACAGCTAGTCTAAAATACCATATGATTCAAGGGACTTGGCTAACCTAGAAGCAGTGGGTGTACATTCAAATGTAAATATTTTCTAGGCAAATATGGAGGGAACACTCCTCAGAGGATAAAATGAGTATTTCCCACATTTTTAGAAATGCTTTCTGAAGGGGCAGGGAAAAGCTCTCCAATAGCCATTGAAATACCTGGACTCAGTTATATACTATGAGCATATGTGCTTAAAAAATTAAAATGTAGATCCCAGTTCACATTAGAAGCTGATCCACAAGGGAGCATAGCCTCAAGAATCCACTAAGTCAAATTATTATTTTTTAAAATAACTGGCAGTTTGCCTCATATAACTAGTATCTGGATTCATACTTATTGCAGATGAGCAAAAGGCTATGCAAACACTTAATTTCATGTATGCAGATCAACTTTAAGTCAGAAACTGATGTCATCTTACTTGCTGTTCCAGTTTTTCCCATCTTTACACCCAAGCTGTCGAAGTACACTGCACCTGCATTGAAGATTTAAACACACTTAAAAAAAATCCGGTGAAAAAATGTTGAAGGTGTCATGCCCACTGAAATACAGGCATAGCTTACCTATTAATAAAGTCTATGGCTTGTGCTTTCAACTGTTCTGCACTGTGCAAATCTGCAAGGACAAGGGTATCAGCAACATTTTCTACTGAGAGGTTACTACACAACGCTTCTTCACACATGACCTTCAGCCGTTCCAGTGCATACTATCCAAAAGGAAAACAACAATTAAACATTTACTCAAATTACCAAGTTTTAAATACTTGGTATTTGTAATTTAGAAAATACTTGTTATCTGTAACTTAGAAAATAAAGTTAAAGCACATAATACTTTGAACTGAGAAGAAAAGTCTTTTATTTTTATTTTTTAAAAGATGATTATTTTTGAGAGACAGAGAGAGCGAGAAAGCGCATGCTAGAGCAGGAGCGGGGGTGGGGGGGGGCGGAGCAGAGGGAGACTCCCTGCTGAGGAGGGAGCCAGATGTGGGGCTTGATCCTAGGACCCTGGGATCATGACCTGAGCTGAAGGCAGATGCTTAACTGACTGAGCCACCCAGGTGCCCTTATGATTGAGAATAAAAAAAGTCTTAAAGTTATTTTAACCTAGTATTAAGAAGATACAAATGAATTCAAGAGAAAGACTAATTTTCTTTAGCAAATTGCGATTTGTGCAAAATACATACTGTCAATTTTAAAAATAGGGTTTTATTCTTTTAAAAAACCCTTCTTGCTCAATACTCTTGAGTGAATTTCTTTTCTCAAAACGCCAAAGTGTACCAGCCAGTACACTATGTTACCACTGCTCAGTCTTGAAGAATGAATTATAAAGCTGAAAAAATCATTTTGATAACCACTTCTTTAGTTGTTATGACAACTTCAGCAGCTTTATTGAAGTATAATTGATATACAGCAAACTGCACATATTTAAAGTTTATACTTTGGTAAGTTTATACCATATAACCATCATTAAATCATGACATTGAACATATTCATCATCCCCAAAAGTTTCTTCCTCTTTGAATTCCTCCCCTCGCCCCACTCCAGCCTACACCTCTGATATGCTCTCTCCTGCTGTAGTTTGCATTTTCTGGAGTCTTCTACAAATGGAATCATATAATTTGTACTCATTTCTGACTGGCTTCTTCTACTCAGCATACGTATTTGAAATTATGCATGTCTTTGCCATTTTATCAACAGTTCAATGCTTTTTAAATTGCTAAAAAATATCCCATTGCGTATAGACATACCACATTTGCTTCTGAATTCCTCTGTTGAAAAACACTTGGGTGTTTCCAGTTTTTTAGCTATTACAAATAAAGCTTCTATTCACATCCAAGTCACTGTATGGGAATATGCTTTCTTTTCTACTGGATAAAAAAGTAGACTTCCTAGATCGTAAGTGTGAAGCTTTTTAAGAAGCTGCCAATCTTTCAAAGTGGTTGTAACATTTTACATTTCCATCAGCAGTGTATGAGAGTCCTAATTCTTACACATCCTTGACCATACTTAATACGGTCTTTGTAATCTCAGCTATTATAATACATGTGTAGAAATATCTCATATGGCTTTAATTTACCTCTCCCTAGTAACTAATGATGTTGAGCATCTTTTGATGTAGTTAACTGACATTAGTTCAGAAAGTGTTTGTTCAAATATTTTCTTTATTTTTAGAAATAACATTGTTAGGTGCCTGGGTGGTTTAGTCAGTTAAGCATCTGCCTCTGGCTCAGGTCATGATCCCAGGGTCCTGGGATCGAGTCCTGCATCAGGCTCCCTGCTCGGCAGGGAGTCTGCTTCTCCTTCTACCCCTCCCCCCTGTCATGTACTCTCTAATAAATAAAATCTTAAAAAAAAAAAGTAAATACATATTTCCTTTAAAAAAAAAAAAAGAAGTAATATTGTTTTCTTGTAATTGAGTTTTGACAGCTCTTTATATAGTTTGAATACAAAAGTCCCTTAGCAGGGATGCCTGGGTGGCTCAGTCAATTAAGCAGCCAACTCTTGATTTCGGCTCATATCATGATCTCAGGGTCATGAGATCAAGCTCTACGTCAGGCTCCATGCTCAGGAGTCTGCTTGAGATCCTCTCCTTCTCCCTCTGACCCTCCCCCTACTTGTTTGCTCTCTCTCTCTAAAATAAATAAATAAATCTTAAAAAAAAAATAAAGCCATTGAGCAGCTATGTTCTGAATAAAAGCTGCTCATTAGATATATGCTTTGCAAAGTGTTTTCTCCTAATTTGTGAGAAGTTTGTGGCTAGTCGTTTCATTCTCCTGTGTTTTCTGAAGTTCTTAAATTTTTCTTAAGCCTAATTTATCAATTTTTCTTTTATGTATTATGTTTTTTGGTGTCATAGCTAAGAAGTCTGCCTAAAATAAGACTGTGAAGACTTTATCCTATGTTTTCTCTCAAAGTTTTAAATTTTAGATCTATAATCCATTTTGCATTACTTTTTGTATTTGGCTTGAAGTTCATATAAAAAGTTCATTTTTTTCAGGTATATAGGTATCCAATCCCTTCTTTACTGAACTGTCTTTCCACCTTTATCAAAAATTAGGTATCAGTGTATGTGACAGTCTATTTCTGTACTTTCCATTCTGTTCCAATAAGTTGTCTATCTTGTAACCAATACAACACTTCTTAAATCCTGAAGCTTAATTTATTTTTATTTATTTTTTAAGAAGATTTAATTTATTTACTTGAGAAAGAGGGGGAGGGAGAGAGCACAAGCAGGGGGAGCAGCAGAGGGAGAGGGAGAAGCAGGCTCCCCGCTGAGCAGGGAGCCCCATGCGGGACTCAAACCCAGGACCCCAATATCATGACCTAAGCCGAAGGCAGACACTTAACCTACTGAGCCACCCAGGTGCCCCTTAAATCCTGAAGCTTTATACTAAGTCTTGTTACCATGCAGTTTTAGCTCTCCACTTTGACCTTCTAGGTTCTTGCACTTGCATGTAAATTTTATATCCACTTGTCAAAAAAAACCAGAACAAAACAAAACCTGCTAAGGACATGCTGGTTCTACTAGTGAATTTTATTTTATTTTATTTTTAATTTTATTTATTTGACAGAGTGAGACACAGAGAGGGAACACAAGCAGGAGGAGTGGGAGAGGAAGATGCAGGGCTTGATCCCAGAACCCTGGGATCATGACCTGAGCCGAAGGCAGATGCTTAATGAGTGAGCCACCCAGGCACCCCTCTACTAGTGAATTTTAAGAACTGAAATTTTAATATTGAGACTACTAGCCCATGAACAAAATTTCTCTTTCCATTTATATTTAGGTAGTACCTGGGAATTTCACTTATCAATATACTGTAATTATCAGTTCAGTCTTTTGACATCTTTTGCCAGATACATGCCTGTATATTTAATATTTTTGATGCTACTGCAAATGTCATTTTTAATTTAAATTTTTATTGAGATAGTTATAGGTTCATGCACAGTTATAAGAAATTAATAGATTCCAGCTTGAGAGAAATATGGCAACAAAGTAGGAGGACTCTAGGCTCTTCCTGTCCTATGAACACAGTTAGATAACTATCAAATCCTCCTAAATACCCCAGAAATAGACTGGAAGACTGATGGAACAAACTCCACAGCTAAAGGGAGAGAAGAGGCCATATTGATAAAGGTAGGAAGTGTGGAGACCTGGTTTAGGGGAGAATGGATTTGGGTGCTGTGGAGGGGAGGGAGCTGCGGTCGTGGAGAAGGGTGAGAAAGAGAGGAGCACACAGGAGAATGCAAAGGGGAATGTTTCCCCAAAAATACTGGCTTGAAAATGAGAGGACCTGAATTTCATGACGTCTTCCAAGAAGTGGGGCTTAAAGCCTAGAGTTTTAAAGATCTGTGGGCTTTGGCTCGGACAGAGTTCAGAGGGTAATGCCCTGCTCCTGGACGGAAGGCAGACAAAAAACCCAGGGGCAGGCTGTGTGGAAACAGCTATCTGAAGAATGCTGGGACACATCAGGGTAAGATTATTTGCTCTTCTCTGAGCGCATCCCTGAGAGGCAGCATTCACAGCGACACCTCTCCTAGAACAAAGGAGCTAGCCAATGCCAGTTAACTCGCCCACCCCTCAGCATAAATACAGAGGCAGCACTGCACTGACACTGGCTGCCTTAATTGCTAACATCAAGCCCCACTCCCTTGCACTCTAGCAGGACCACCCTTCTCAGTCAAGCTTCCGTCAGTCCCAGCATAGCAGGCCATTCCTCCAGAAAACCAGCACAAACCCTGCCCATAGTTCTGTAGGGCCTCAGTTCTGGATGAAGTGGTGTCAGGTCTCATTTCACAAGCAGCCCAGAGCACACCTAGTTAAAACTCACCATATTCACATCCAGGGATGAAACACTGCCTCCCTCAGGCAAGGAGAGTCTTGTGGACAACTGCCTAAAGGACAGAGTAGCCAGAACACAACAGTGCATACGGAACACAATGGAAACACTCCCTGGAAGTGCCAGGCCCTGGGCACTATCACCTCTTCTTCATTAGGCCATTACTTTCAGGAACAGGAGACATAACTGGCTTTTCTAACACAGAGAAGCAGGCCCAGACTTAGACAAAATGAGAAGACAGAGAAAATTATCCAAAATGAAAGAACAAGATAAGGTCATAGCCAGAGATCAAAGTGAAACAGATGTAAGTAACATGCCTGATGAATTTAAAGCAATGATCATAAAGATACTCACTGGACTTGAGAAAAGAATGGAAGAAATCAGTGAGACCCCTACCACAGAGATAAAAGAATTAAAAAAGAATCAGAGATGAAGAATATAATAAACAGGATCAGAAACAGGCTTGGTGCAATGAACAGCAGGCTGGAAGAAGCAGAGGAACAGATTAGTGAACCAGAAGACAAAATAATGGAAAATAATGAAACTGACCAAAAGAAAGAATTATGCATGAGAACAGACTTAGGAAACTCAGTGACTCCATCACGTGTAACATTCCTATTCTAAGAGTCCAGAAGAAGAATAGGGAGCAAAGGGGGCAGAAAATTTACTTGAAGAAATAACAGATAAAAATTTCCTTAATCTGGGGAAGGAAAAGACCTGCAGATCCAGGAGGCATAGAGAACGCCCATCAAAATCAACTAAAGCAGGCCCACACAAAGACATATTATAATTAAATTAGCAAAATATAGTAATTAAAAAAAAAGTCTTAAAAGCAGCAAGACAAAAGAAGTCCTTAACTTACAAAGGAAGACCCCTAAGGCTAGCTGGAGATTCTCAACAGAAATTTTGGCAAGCCAGAAGAGGGTGGCATGATATATTCAAAGTGCTGAATGGGAAAAATCTGCAGCCACGAATACTCTATCCAGCAAGGATTCATTCACAATAGAAGGAGAGATAAAGAGTTTCTTAGAAAAACAAAAACTAAAGGAGTTCTTAACCACTAAACCAATGCTTGCAAGAAATATTAAAGGGTACTCTTTGCAAGGCAGTCTAAAAGTAACAAAGACAAGAAAGGATCAGAGAAAATCTCCAGAAACAGTAACAAAACAAGTAATAAAATGGCAATAAATACATAGCTATCAATAATTACTTTGAATGTAAATGGACTAAATACTCTAATCAAAAGACACAGAGTGTCAGAATGGATAAAAAAAACAAGAGCCATATATGCTGCTTATAAGAGATTCATTTTAGATCTAAAGATACCTGCAGATTGAAAGTGAGGGGATGGAGAAAATTAACATGCAAATGAATGTCAAAAGAAAGCCAGAGTAGTGATACTTACATCAGACAAACTAGACTTTAAAACAAAGACTAACAAGAGACAAAGATGGACACTATATAATAATAAAGGGGACAATCTAACAAGATACAAGAATTGAATAATCATAAATTAGTCCATAAAGAGGCAAACGCAAGAAAACTAAAATCATACAATGCACCTTTTTTGACCACAATGCTATGAAACTGCAAGTCAACCACAAGATAAAAATCTGGAAAGACCACAAATACAGGATGTTAAACAAAACGCTATTAAACAATGATGGGTCAACCAAGAAATCAAAGAAGAAATTAAAAAAAAAAAAATACATGGAAACAAATGAAAGTGAAAACAGTATGGTCTAAAACCTTTGGGATGCAGCAAAAGCAGTCCTAAGATGGAAGTATATAGCAATATACAGGCCTACCTCAAGAAGGAAGAAAAATCTCAAGGTAATTCTTCACCTAAAGGAGCTAGATACAGGATAACAAAGCTTAAAGCCAGCAGAAGGAAGGAAATAATAAAGATCACAGCAGAAATAAATGATACAGAAACTAAAACAAACAAAAAACAACAACAAAAAAACCCAGTAGAACAGATCGATGAATCCAGGAGTTGGGGAAAATTAATACAATTGATAAACCTCTAGCCGGACTTATCAAAAAAGAGAAAGGACCCAAATAAATAAGATCACAAAGAGAGGAGAAATAACAATCAACATCACAGAAATACAATTATAAGAGAGTATTATGAAAAACCATATGCCCAACAAATTGGACAACCTAGGAAAAATGGATAAATTCCTAGAAACATACAAATTGCCAAAACTAAAATAGGAAAAAATAGAAAACTTGAACAGATGGATAACCAGCAAAGAAACTGAATCAGTAATCAAAAAACTCCTAACAAACTAAAGTCCAGGATCAGATGGCTTCACAGGCAAATTCTACCAAACATTTAAAGAAGAGTTAATACCTATTCTTCTCAAACTATTCTAAAAAACAGAAAAGGAAGGAAAACTTCCAAATTCATTCTATAAGGCCAGCATTACTCTGATACCAAAACCAGAAAAAGACACCACTAAAAAGGAGAACTATAGGCCAATATCCCTGATGAACATAGATGCAAAAATCCTCAATAAAATACTAGGAAACTGAATCCAACAAGACACTAAAAAAATAATTCACACAATCAAGTAGGATTTATTCCTGGGCTGCAAGGGTGGTTCGGTATTCATAAATCAATCAACATGACAGATCACATTAATAAAAGAAAGGATAAGAACCATATTCAATAGGTGCAGAAAAGGCATTTGACAAAGTACAACATCCATTCATCATAACAAAAAAAAAAAACAAAAAAAAAAACAAAAAACACCTTAACAAATTAGGTTTAGAGGGAACAGACTTCAACATACAATGACCATATATGAAAACCCCACAGCTAATATCACCCTCATAGGGGAAAAACAGAGAGCCTTTCCCCTATGGTCAGGAACAAGAAGACAAGGATGTCCACTCTCACCAACACAGTACTGGAAGTTCTAGCCATGGCAGTGAGACAACAACAAAAAAATAAAAGGCATACAAATTGGCAAGGAAGAAGTAAAACTTTCCCTATTTGCAGAAGACATGACTCCACCAAGAAACTGCTAGAACTGATGCATGAATTCAGTAAAGTCTCAGGATACAAAATCATCGTACAATCTGTTGCATTTCTATATACCAATAATGAAGCAACAGAAAGAGAAATTAAGGAATCAATGTCATTTACAACTGCACCAAAAACGATAAGATACTTAGGAATAAACCTAACCAAAGAAGTGAAAGACCTGTACTCTGAAGAATATACAACACTAATGAAAAAAATTAAGATGACACAAAGAAATGGAAATACATCCCATGCTCATGGATTGGAAGAACAAATATTGTTAAAATGTCATATTACCCAAAGCAATCTACACATTTAATGCAATCCCTATCAAAATATCAATAGCATTTTTCACAGAGCTAGAACAATCAATCATAAAACTTATATAGAACTACAAAAGACCCTGAACAGCCAAAGCAATCTTGGAACAGAAAAGCAAAGCTGGAGGCATCACAATTCTGGACTTCAAGTTGTATTACAAAGCTGTAATAATCAAAGCAGTATGGTACTGGCACAAAAACAGCCACATAGATCAATGGAACAGAAGAGAAACCCAGAAATGAACCCAGGACTATATGTCAATTAATCTTCAACAAAGCAGGAAAGAATATCCAATGGGAAAAAGACTGCCTCTTCAACAAATGGTGTTGGGGAAACTTGACAGCAACATGCAAAAGAATGAAACTGGACCACTTACTTATACCATACACAAAAATAAATTCAAAAATGAAAGACCTAAATGTGAGACCTGAAACCACAAAAATCCTGGAAGAGAACACAGGCAGTAACTCTTTGACATCGGCTGTAGCAACTTCCTTCTGCATATGTCTCCTAACACAAGGGAAACAAAAGCAAAAGCACTGGGACTTCATCAAAATAAAAAGCTTCTGCACAGCAAATGAAACAATCCACAAAACTAAAAGGCAACCTATAGAATGGGAGAAGATATCTGCAAATGATATATCCAGTGAGGGGTTAAAATCCAAAATAGATGAAGAACTTATAAAACTCAACACCCCAAAACCAAATAATCCAATAAAAATGGGTAAAAGACATGAACATACATTTTCCCAAAGATGACATATGGATGGCCAACAGACACATGAAAAGATGTTTAACATCACTGATCATCAGGGAAATGCAAATCAAAACTACAATGAGATATCACCTCACACCTGTCAGAATAACTAAAATCAACAACATAAGAAACAAGAGGTGTTGGTGAGGATGTGGAGAAAGGGGAACCCTCTTACACTGTTGGTGGGAATACAAACCGGTGCAGCCACTTTGGAAAACAGTATGGAATCTCCTCAAAAAGTTAAAAATAGAAAATACAAAAATACTGACTCAAAGGGATATATGCACCCTGATGTTTATAGCAGCATTATCTGTAATAGTCAAATTAAGAAAATAGCCCAAGTTGATATTTTATATATATATACATAAAATAGAGAGGGGGAATGGAATTTTACTTAGCCAAAAAAGGAATGAAATCTTGCCATTTGCAATGACATGGATGGGGCTAGAGAATACTAAGTGAAAAAGACAAATACCATATGATTTCACTTATATGTGAATTTAAGAAACAAAACAAATGAGCAAAGAGGAAAAAAAAGAGAGGCAAATCAAGAAACAAGTCTTAACTATAGAGAACAAACTGATGGCTACCAGAAGGGAAGTGGGTGGGGGGATGGGTTAAATAGGTGATGGGAATAAAGGAGGGCACTTGTGATGAGCACCAGGTGATGTATGGAATTGTTGAACCGTTATACTGTACACCTGAAACTAATATTACACTCTATGTTAACTAATTGGAATTTAAATAACAACTTGGAGAAAAAAAAAACAGATTCTACATTCACTTGGCCTGGTAATGGCCCCACTGGTAGTATTTTACAAAACAAGTACAATATTGGGGTGCCTGGGTGGCTCAGTTGGTTAAGCGTCTGCCTTCAGCTTGGGTCATGATCCCAGTGTCCTGGGATCAAGGTCCGCATTGGGCTCCCTGTTCAGCAGGGAGCCTGCTTCTCCCTCTCCCTCTGCCATTACCCCAGTTTGTGCTCTCTCTTTGTCAAATAAATAAAATCTCTGAATAAATAAATCTCTGAATACAGGGAATTAAGTTACAAAAAATCCAATATTTTCTTCTTTTTTATTATTTTATTTTATATATTCTAACTAGTTCAAGATATTTTTATGCCTTATTGATTAAAAAAATCTGATTTCCATATCTTCACTGTATGCTATTTCATAATATGCTCAAGAGCTATCTATAAATAGTACAAATTAATTCTTCAATATTTTAAAGTTATTCGGGGTTTTCATTTGATGATAGCTTTCTAGATACAATAAGCTTGAGGAGATTTTTCAGCTTTTTAAGACCTACTTACTTACTTTGTCTGCAGCTGCCAACAAGTTGTCAGCCATTTTGTCAAGGTTTGGTGCTTTTCCTGTGTAAATGAATCTCATCATTTCTTTAAAAACCTCAGGGTCTACATCATTTATTTCCACTCGATTCTGATGTTAAAAACAACATAAAAAAGTTATACTCAAAGAACATACACACACACAAATGAACCAAAGCGAAACTTGGATAATAATTTAACTAAATCTGCACCCAAGTGCTCTATTTTAAACTCTACTTTAAAATGGAGGTAAGTAAATCTTCAGTAAGCTAAGCAGGCAAAGTGAAGCAGGCAGGTCTAACAGAAGTATACCCAGTCAAGCACTACCATGTAGGTATATAAAACCTCAATTTCTCAATTATAAAGAGTAAAACAAAAACAAACGAAAGCCTTTAGGCCAAACAAAATACACGTGTTCAGTTCTTAACCTCTATCTTAGAAGAAGACAGCTATTAACTTTTTCTTTGTTGAATTCCAAGGTCATAGTACAATGCCTAAGACCCCACAACCAATGGTACTACTCCCATCTTTAAGCAAAAGTAGGGTCAGCTATTTCAAATAATTCCACAGCCCACTACCTTGGAATTCTCCCTTTTGCAAAAATGACATGTCATACTATCTACTGGCAAATTACGTCTCTGCTCAGAACATACTTGAGTCCAATGAGTAGTAATTCCTTTTTTACTCCTACATCTTCATATTTGGTTTCTCTCGGGATCAATGAAGCTAAACATCTAACACTAAACAATACCAAACTTTTCCGACCCTTTGCTGACAATAACATTTGACATTATTCATGTCTCCTCATGTGGAAGTGATCAGAAGGCTAATCATAGTACCTGGCAGAACAACAATCCAAGGAAAGAAAGCAGCTATTTGCTGCAGCCTTTAGTTCTACAGAAAGAATGAAGGAGAGCCACATAAATAAACTTTGGAGTTACCCAGTTAGAGCATGAAGGCTCACATGTAATGCAACCAGCAAAGAATCAATCTCTGATCTTTAATCTGACTACATTTCAAGACGACAGGTGAAGGAGAAACATTTGGGAAAACCAAAGATGTAATATATTGATTAAATATATAATAACAATGATGCAATTTATGTCATTTTTAAAAAATCTAATAAATATCTTCTTATTTTAGTGGTAAAAAGAATGTAGAATTCCAAAATCAACACATAGTCTAGAAAAGAGGAATAAACATCTTAACCAGGAAACTCTCAAATAGCTATGGACCAGAACCACTCTTCTGGATAACAACTACCCACTTAGTTTGCCACCAGATGGACAACAAAATAGGTATTATTTGGAATATTCACCCACATTAGGCTACATCTATTGTTCTACTACAGAACACATTTTTTTCCTATCCTTCTATTTCTAAAATCATAATGTAACAATGAGAACATGCACCATTACTTTCAAAATATATATTTCACTATTCTACAGTAGTACAAATTAAATATTAGCCTTTAAACCATGTTTACCTTTTTGCTTTCTTCCATTTCATGTTCAAACATTGCATTAAAAACTGGGGATCGAGCTGTAACAAGATTATGCATCATTATTTAATGCACAGATTTATGGGAAAAATGTACAATATTACCCAAAAGTTGAAAGTACCTGCAAGTACAGATTTATGAGCTTTAAATTCTTGTCCTCTCACAAAAAAACTGCAATCTGTAAATCTTGTGTTTTCCCAGAGATTACCTAAATCTTCTGCTAGTCGACATTCAGGCACCTTCAAAGTATTTGTATTAGTATGTCCTGATATATTTACTGAATCTTGGACCACACTCACCTAATAAAAAAGGGACAGCAAGAAAAACACTTTTACAAATTAGTATCAGTAGTTATTAAGTCTATACTTAAATTTTTTATCATTAAAATCATTTGGACAATTCAAAGTACTCCTGATCAAAAATGTTAATACTGGGAACTAAATTTAAGGATACAATTTAAAGGACAGAATATAGAAAATATTGATTTTCACGTGACGTTTTATGTAAATAAATGGCTTATCGATTGGTTGGAATGCTTGGTTATTAAAGTAATCACAAAAACTATTTCTCAGGAAAATAAAAGTCATAAGATGATGTCAAACTGAAACAAGCAGGAGACATTTTTGTGAGGTGAAGGAAGAAATTTCTTTAATTTTTATTTTCTCACACCAAAGACCTATCAACATTTAAAAATTACTACACATGTAATAAACATGGCATCACACTCATAAGGACTTTTTATAGTATTAAAAAAGGTTATAAAATTACAGTCTATGATATGTAACTTGGGAAGTACTGTAGGTGTGTGATTCTACATGTTTTGATTCTAGTTAAATTTATTTAAATATCTAGTAATATTGATTTAAATTGTAAAGTACAAGAATTCTCACAAAACCAATTGTACTCATTAAAATTCATGGAAATCTTTTATAATAATCAACAGTAATAATAATACAATTTAGTTCAATTTGTAGACCTTTTGTTTATGAAATAATAAAAGTATGATTAAAACAATGCTTTTATACAGATTTCAATATAATATGAATTAAATTTTCTCTCATTAAAGAGGACTGTATATTGAATAAAATCTTAAAACACGATTGAGTCTTGAGCACCACTTTTAAGAAAAAGTATGTTACTAATATTAGAAATTTCATATTACATTTAATAAGTGGAAGAAAATACTACTCAATTATTAAAGCAAATATTTCAGAGTAAATGAACCATTAGTGCATTAGTACTATGTGTTAGTTATCTACTGTTTTAAGCTTCTAAGTTTTGTGGTCATTTGTTAGCTAACACAGAATATATAATAATGGTCCAATATAAAATATCTCAAGAATATTAAATCTCAGGAAGTTCTCCTTCATCCTGATGTATATAAACATGTATCACATGGGAATGGATGGATACTTCTAAAGAAAAACTTTATTTTTCTGAGGATATTTTTATTAGCCATTTTGTTTTTTCAACTTGCATTATTAACTATTTGGCATCATATATATCATAGAAATCATCTAATCCAATCACCTTATTTTATAGAAAGATTTCAAAGGAAGATCAAAGAAGGTAACTAATGTGTCAATCACACTGGCAATCAGTATCAAAGGAAGACTAGAGACTATAATTCTCAGATTCTTTTTTTTTTTTTAAATCATTCTTTGTACTACACAAATACTTCTTTGGATATCTTTTAAAATCATTAGCACTACTTTAATGCAACTATGGTTCAAAAAGGATTTATTGCAACAATACTGAGATAATTTTCTACATATAGAAGCCAAGACATTGTGTACATAATAAATTAATAAATTAATTCTAGCAATAAAGGTTCTCTATTCTATTAATTTTTTAATTATCCAAATTGTTTCTAAAATGACTACAAAAAAGAAAAACTTCACTAATCCTTACCTGATTACCCTATTATGCTACCCATTATAACTTAATGATACTTTAAAAATGCTGGTGTTGATACTCAGGATTTAGTTAGAGATCACTTTTTTATCATATAGACAATATTTATTTCTTCCTATCAAGCACTGGTCTTAAAAATTTCTAGACACTAGGAAGTGGATCAGTTCAATTACTTGCATAAAGTATGCAGTCAAGTCATAAAAATGTGACAACATATTTAATTTTAGGAAAGGATTTTTTAAATTCTATTTATTACCTATTATCGTAACTCAAAATAATACATTAAACATAAAAATTTGGCCAAAATCAGGTGACAGAAGAAATAAAATGATCAAAAAACAAAGCCATTTTTATCAGGCATAGCTACTGATGATGTTATATTTTTATTTTGTATATGTAATCATAATTCAGAAGAAGTTGTATTATTTACATACATCTACATAGTATTGTCATGGCGACCACAAATTTAAACTAAGACTTAATTAACATTTCATACTTTAAGGTGTATTCAAGGGACTATTTATGCAGCAAAAATTAATGATTAATTAACAATTAATACAGAACAAAATCTGATTATTTTCTGGATACCTATATTTAAGAAACTGATAAAATTTTAGTTTTCTCTAGCACATATTCAAGTACAGGTAATGAACATTCTTACTGAATGGAACCTAGAGTAAAAAATTCAGAAAAAAGTCTGAGATTCTTTCTTAGGGTTAAATTGTTCTTTCAAAATAAAAAGGCAAAGTTACAATATTCAAAATTGACAAATGCTGCAAAACAAAACCTCAAACACATTTGAAAACTCTTCTTCAAATGTGGTTTTAGCTTGTGAGAATATAATTTAGACTAAAGATGAACATATACAAATTCTAATCAACTGTGACTACCCTAGAAATCTGGGTCTACCTACCATAGTGTGAACTGAGGTGACTACTGTTTCCAGTTTTAAAAAAATCTCAATTCTCCAAACTAGTTTTAAAAACTAAGAATTTATAATGGTTCATCATAGTACAAATTTTGCCACTCTTAATCAACTACCTAACCATCCTTCACAGTGGCTCCACAGTGAGAAACTTTCAACAGTCCAATTTCACATCTTCTAAAATAGTGGATCTTAGACTTTTTGACTGTCCTAGATAGGCATCCTTCTCAAAAATTTGGGTGACAGAAACAGGGCTGTCAACTTTTCATTTTGCCATAAAAGGGCTTTTTAAAGAATAAAACCTAACTTCCATCCATTATCACAAGTATTTTAAAACAGAAGTGATATCTTAGCAACAAAAAAATAGGATGGGAAAAATGGTATATCCTTCTAGATGAATTAACTTTATGAAAAACTCAATACATAACATATATTCTATCTGTATATGCATAATCTTCTGCAGTTGTGGAATACTATGGGTCTACAGACTATGAGACTAAATATCTACTGGATTTAAAAAGATGAACTAAACAGTTTTCTATTTTTCAAATGTATTCCTCAAGTCCTGTCTTCTGCATCACTTTGGGAGGGAGAGAAGGGGCAGAGCTCTTTACACTGCTAGAGATATCTACCTCTGGCTACTTGGTTCATAGTGGAACTTGCAAGATGAAGTTAGGTCTTGCAGAAAAAGGGTAGCACCCAACTGCCTTACCTGTCTACAGCACCACTTGCAGGGGAGGGGGAGGAGGCAGTTCTTTAGGTAGGGCAGTGCAATGCTTCCTCCTCTTCTGCAAGCAGTGCTGGAGGTGCTGTAGAAGGAAGGGCATCAATGAGAGGTATAGAAGAAATGGTGGAGGGCATGAGGAATGTTCGTTCAAAGTACTTTTTGCCCACCGATGCTAAATACAGTGCCCAGGGTATAAGTCTCTACATCAGTAAAAAGGTACATATTACAAGTATCCAAAACTGAATCTGATCAATGCCAACTTAAAATGTAAGTCATGGTGGGTTATATTTTTAGGAGGTCACTAGCATGTGGATAAAAAAACATACTTCAAAAGTATATATTGGAAAAAGATCTTAATTTCAGCCTTCATTCTGAATTTCTCGGTTGACTAGGTTCCAATATAATATGCTTAGGAAAATATCTGTAAACACGATCTTAATTCTAAAAAAAAAAAAATATTTTCTTAAAGAGTTTATTTACATAAAGACTTTTAACTGCAGTAAATGAAATTGGATTACATAGCTTTTTAAGGTCCTTTAAATTCAAAGATTATATGATTTAAAAAAATTAACATGTTGGAATTTAAGGTAACTGTTAACATTCTGGAAGAATCTACATTAAGGATGTTAAAATTTTTAAATAATACCTGTATTTATTTAAAATACTACTCTGAATATATGTCTATTGGCAACAAATGTTTTAGTATTTGTTTTACAAATTATTTAATGATAAACTCTGATGAAGACACTTGTGGTATGTGCTTTACCAACCAAATAATTATATTCATAAATTCATCCTACAGTTCATTTAACTTGTCTAAGTGAAAATAAGATGCACTATATTTGCATTATGTAGTCTCTAGAGCCACATTTCAATTATTTTTCTGACAGCATAAAAACATACAATTAGTTTATAATGTTGCCAAGAAATTCTACATATTTTCTACAAAGAGATTAAAGCTAATTTAGTAGCAGTTAAGGTAAGTTACCAGGCTTCCAAGACACTCACTGGTCTAATAGCTTACTGAAATATATTTAACATTGAGTTTACTTGATCATAATCTTTCAATTAGTTTTCCTATGAAAATTATCAACTACTTTAAACATTTTGATGAAACTATGTTATTGATGTATATTCTCTATAAACTGTATTGGTAACATAATCCTTGAATTCACTCCAAAGAGGAATCTCAACTATTTGTATAGATAAAACCATGTAATGATAACAATGACAAAAGTGAATTCCAGTCTCAAATTAAGACAAATCATAAGTGTAAATTATTACAGGGGCTATGCTGGTTACTGTTAAAATATGACATTTTATACAAATAAATATACCTCACAAGTTCGTGAACAGACATGGGCAAATCTTAAAAATTTGGGATGCTATTTCTTATAATGCTAACATCTATTTAATTAAATGAATCCAACTGTCTGAATAAACAAAAAGCCTCCCAATCTCTTCAGGAACTTTCATTATGTATGTATTCAAACTGATACAATACTAATCATATTTAATATGGTCAACCTGAATATGACAAAAAATAATGAACATCTATGTTACAATTATTCAGAATGAAGAAGATACTTACAAATTTTCATATAAAGATATACACATCTATAGTCTTCCTAGGAGGAAGAAGTACTTAGTATTTGGTAGTATAACTACCATATATAATTTATAGCTATAGACATGACAGATATTTTTCAGGATGGGCTACTTACTACACTGATTTCTAAAACAATCTAGTCTTACTGGTAAAAACATTTACAAATGAAACCTTATCAGTTATACCAATTACTTAATTTTAAAAATATACCCAATTAAAAAAACGTATACCCAGTATAGTTCTACTTTATATTTTTGCTTTATCACGAAATACAACTTTGGAGTTCCTCGAAATAAAAAATATACCCACCTCACAAAATAATGTAAGCTTGTCGTCTGGTAAAAGACCATTAGCTTCATCAAGCAAAAAATCCCTTCGAATGAATTTTTTAAAACCCCAGTCTTTCCCTTGTACAAATCGATATGCTCTTTGGCTTTCTGGTGGAAAACAGAATAGAAGTTTAAATAAAAAAAACCATCTAATTGATAACACAGTTAAATGAATATGCAAAAATAAAACTTGGCCAATACATCCGTTTTAAGAAATATAGATATATGTGTTCATAAATGAAATGTCTTAAGAGTTACATCACGTAGGACAAGATTATTTCACAGCAGTATTCAAATTTTGGCCACCATCAATGAGCTCACTTTCAGATTTCTGGATCTCTAAGTAGAAGAAAAGCCGTATCCAATCTCCTGGAGAAGGAAGAGATCTCTCTAACAATGCAGGCCCTTGAGTAATGGAGGAGGAACAAAACACGTTGGCATAGGCATATTCCTCCTCATCAAAATCTGATTAGAAACATACCCCTCATTTCTTGCTTCTCCCTCTAAAAATGGACGCTCAGAATCTCCAAGGCATCCTTTAACTTTCCTGGGGCATCTATCCCACTAATTTAAGTTTTAATGAACTAGAGAAAAATCTATCTACTGGGAAAACAAACAAAACAAAAAACACTTAAGTCTCTTATCACTCCTAGATCTTTGGACATAATCCCCTCACCCCTAAAAACAACTTTCATAAAGTCTAAAATATGATTTTAGTATAATTTGTAAAAAAAACAATAAAGTCTGAGGCAAATGTTTCAAATGGCTAGCATACTGTAGAACTGTGTATTATAAAATAAACAAGATCCTCAACAGAAAGTATTTACAATCTGTTATATAAAGTATTAACTGGAGGTGAAAAATCAGTAATAAACCTAATTGAAAGATTCCACATTATGGACTGAATGTTTGTATCTCCCCCAAATTCTTATGTTGAGATCATATCCCCCAAAAGGATGGTATTAAGAGGTCAGTGATTGGAACTAGATGAGTTCATGAGGGTGGAGACCTCCACAAAGCTCCCTAGAGCTCAATCAGCCATGTGAAGACAGTGAGAAGTCAGCAGTCTACAACCCAGAAGAAGGCTTTCACCAGAACTTGACCATGCTGGCACTCTGATCTTGGACTTTCAGCCTTCAGATCTGTGAGAAGCCAACCTCTGTTGTTTATAAGCAACCCAGTCTATGGTACTTTGTTACAGCAGCCTAAACCAAAACACCCCACTACCATAAATGTCAGACATGAGGAAAATATATATAAAACAATGTATTACTTAGGCAATAAAAAGTATTATTTAAAACTTTATCTGGAGGAAGGGTTTTTTTTTGTTTTGTAATGACGTTACTTGATTCTGTGATTCACTTCTGGAAATCACTTAAAATTTAATGTGGCAGTTTATGATATATTTTCCCACTATGCACACTGTACGTTTCCTACAATGCTCTTCTATTATGAAGTTCTAGGCCACATGGCTTCAGCTGACTATATATATGAAGCTTTGAAATGAATTTAATAGGCCCTGAGACTAAGGAAAACTGATTTCCTTTTGGTCAGTGTTCAGTCCACTGCTCAAAAAAATTCTAGTGATAGAATACCAGAACATTCAATCTCCTTTCACATTGTTCCTCCGATTTTATTATCTGGAAAAACAGTAAGGGAGAACTATTTCCTGAACACCAATTATATTTGCCAGGAACTAAACCAGGCACCTTGCCCTAAAAGCAACTATTTTTCTAAGTGACAAGTAAATATTGTTTTAGGACATGAAAAAGTAAAATTAATATTATTTTTAACAAATTTTACATGTCTTATGAAGTCTAAGATTTATTAAAACAACCACAACTCCAGACCAGCATTTAAAATTAAACAATGGCCACACTGCATGTTTGAGGTTAAGCAGATTTCAATGGGGAAAAAAAATATATCCTTTTTTAGGTAAAAGTACATAAGTTAACATGCAGTTACTCAGAGACTTCTTTACTTCAAATCACTTACCCATTGCTTTTGTTTCTTCCCTTTTAGCGTTTAGAAGGGAAAATTTGAATTTTGCTCGAACTTCACTTTTTGGGCAGCTGACTAAAAGCAAATATAAGGACAAGTAGTCTTTACTTTCATCATCTAATCCCTTTGGATTTACCCTCAGGCACCTAAAATAAAACAACAGGCTCATATGGAGGAATATAAAACTTAAAACATTCAAAAGAGAGAGGCAATACTGAAATTAGTTGTTAAATAGCACAAATAGCACTCCTATCAATATCTCCAGTTCTTTATAATTCTCAATACTATTAGGAAATTATAAATCTAATATAACCCATTAAGAATCAATATCAAAACAATAAAGTAGCTGAAGACTATATCAAAAACAAAAATTCAAAACAAAAATCTTACCATTTCATTTTGTCACTGGGGCTAGATGAGAATGTTGAACTTTTTAACACTTCACCCATTTCCTCTCGACAAAAACTGAAGTTATTAATGGTCCACATGTAGGAAAATTTTACTACTTTAACCTAAGAGATTCAGAAAACCACTTTTACAATGATGACTTTTTTGCTTTTAACTTGTCACATGTTAAAAATTCTGTGACTCACTTTTCTAACACCTGGAATAACTATAATAAAATGCTTTACGATATTTTCAAAATACTATAAAATTTGTAAATGGCATAGAGTAAGGCATTTTTAACAGCATGTACCTGTGTATAACACCAGCTTTCTGCTATAGGACCAGTAGACATATCTCCAGGGAGAGGTGGGCTGGGTTCCCGAGACATTGCCACTTTACTGCAGTCTTCCAAGATTTATGCAATATCCCACACAGATGAATACTTTACTAAAAAGAAAAGAAGTTTCATTTACTGATCAAAAGGTTAGACTAAGTCAAGAGGAAGTAAATAAAACAATTAGTTTTCCAAATTTGATTATGAGGGAACATGCAAGGGTTTCATTATTTCAATAATTAAAAAAAGAAATCATAATCCTTTGTGACATGTAACACTTAAAATCTAAACAAACTTAATGCTTATAGATATTATTTTATAAAGGTATACTTACCAAAATAGCACAAACCAAAAAATATAGTTTAATAGTAAGAGTATAAACATAAAATCACAAAATGACATGGACGCTTACTGACAACAATTGTCATTGTGCCTTGAATAAGGTGGGGGTTAGGAGCACTGAACCTCCAGGCAGTCAAAAATCCACATATAACTTTTGACTCCCTAGAAACTTAACTACTAATAGCCTACTATTGACCAGAAGCCTTACTGATAACATGACAGCTGAGTAACACATATTTTATATATGTGTTTTATACTGTATTCTTATAATAAAGCTAGAGAAAAAGTTATTAAGAAAATCATAAAGAAAATACATTTACTGTACAATATTGATTGAAAAAAAATCTGCGTATAAGTGGACCTGCACAGTTCAAACCCATGTTATTCAAGGGTCAACTAGTATCTGATTCACCTTTATCTTCTGATATATTGACAAAAATCAAAAGGGTTGCAAAGTTAAAACAGTCCTGAAAACTACAAATATTAGTCACTCATCTGTCCAAGTTTTGGTCAAAACAGAGTGGCAACTAACAGCAATATTTTATGTGAAGAATTACAAAGATTTCCACAGAAGTCTACCTCTATCTCAGATAAACAGGTCTCCGTTGAAGATTTTGTCTCTATCAGAGTGCCCCCTACCAGATATGTACTTATAAAATTTCCTCCTAGTTAGCTGTTCTCTTACTACATTCATTTGGACACATAATTAATTCAGCATAATCTTGTCAGAACATTAGTGACTAAAGGATGGTACTTTGCAACGTGGAAAGTCTATAAAAGAAAAGTGAAACTCAAGAGGACATAAGTAGTGTAGTTTGCAGGGGTGTGGGTGGGGGTGTTTCAAAATTACATTCAAAAACAGGCACATCATCCAAAATTCGTAAGAAAATATTTGTTCTGTGTCTACAAACAATGAAGCCATAGTATGAAACAAGGAAAACAAAGACGGAAGAAAGCTATCGGAAAGATGCACAGATCCACCCGACCTGGCAGCAAAGCTGCAATTTTCCTGGCTAGGCCCAGACTGATAAAACTACCACTGTTGTCTACTGGGCTGGGAGAGGAAATATGAGCAGAAATATGAATTGGATATTTCTCTTAAGCAAATTCAATTAATAAATGTACTAAAAGAGCAATGATTATCAGAGTTACCTGTTAGAAATATGTGAAAGGGCCCTATCCTAGTTAATACTTTGCCAGTTACTCTAAAGCAAGCTGACAAACCATCATGAACAATTTCAAAAACACAAACCAAGAAAAGTATTTGCACTGCATTACATCACATGAGGGGTTAATTTCCCTAGTATGTAAGAAATTCCTGAAAATTAGAAAAAGTAATGAATACAAATAATTCACAGAAAAAGAACTTTACTTATTGGAGAAATACAAATTAAAAGAAAATTAAGAAGCCATTTTTTAACCTATTAGACTGGCAACAACAATCCAAAAGACTGACAGTGTAAGGACAGACACTCTCATACAGTTCTAGTGGGAATATAAATTATAAAGTTGTTTTAATAAACTCCCTTCTCATTTTTTATGGTGAAATGCTTGACAAAAGAGAAGGAAATAATGCTAATAAAAAAGCTACTAATTTTATTGTAAGTATGAGAATACCTATGGCATTTGATGGCCGTGAGAACAATTTATATCATTTCTGGCAACTAAGAATGATTTCAAAAAACATTCAGAAAAATAGCGAGATATACAAGCAATTCACATGAAAAGAAAAAAAATTAACCTCATTTGTAATCAATGAAATACAAAAAGAACACATACAATTTTTTACCTATAGTATGGTTAAAGATTATTTTAAATCATTAATCTCTGTACAGCCAACAAAACTGCAGAGAGGCAGACATTACTGGTAAGTCTTTTTTTTAAAGATTTTATTTATTTATGAGAGAGCGCGCACACGAGCGAGGAGAGCGCACAAGCAGAGAGAGAAGCAGGGTCCCCGCTGAGCAGGGAGACTGATGCCAGGGCTTGATCCCAGGACCCCAGAATCATGACCTGAGCCAAAGAGGCAGCAGCTTCAATGACTGAGCCACCCAGGTGCCCCGGTTAGCCTTTCCCGGCAAACAATTTTACAATTAGTATCACAAGAAATTTTTTACCAGATTCAGTCTAGATATTTATCCTGGGAAAAGTATTACAACTGTGGAAAAACATAAGTATAAGTACAGTATGTTTTTGTCATATACATGTAAAACTATACAACCATTAGCAGTATTAAATTTTCTTAATGACAGGGAAAGTATTCAAGATCTGTTGTGTGTGGGTATATACAATTTTAATTAATGTAATATATTTAATAATATATAATTTTATACTTCTATATATACATATATAAATGAATATACATATATAAAAGGATCTCACTTATATAAATATAAATAGCATAGAGAGTCAGAGTCAATAGAAGTACAGATGCATGAAAAAAACCAGACTGGCACAAAAATCACTGAGTTGCACTTTGGCACTGCAGTGTCAACACTGATAAGATACACACCTAAATATTAATAGAGGCTATATCTGGGTGGTGAGATTTTCTAATTTTTCTTTATATTAATAAAGAAATTTAAGTCATTTTTTTTTAAGATTTTATTTATTTGTCAGAGAGAGAGAGAGAGAGCACAAGCAGGGGGAGTGACAGGCAGAGGGAGAGGAAGAAGCAGGTTCCCCACTGAGCAGGGAGCCCGAAGCGGGGCTCGATCCCAGGACCCCGGGATCATGACCTGAGCCGAAGGCAGACGCCCAACCATCTGAGCCACCCAAGCGTCCCTTAAGTCATTATTTTTAAAAGTAAAAAATACAGTTATTTGGATACCTTATGAACCCACAGAAAACATGTATGTGTGTATGTGCGTGTATTACTTTCTAAGTAGTAGAGATTGAGAGATGTTTAGTCAAAGAAAACATTAATGTTAATCTTCCTAATATTTAAATCTTTGTAAGATACCAACTAATTTAACATTAATAAAATGCATAAAAAAGTTTAAAAACCAGAAGAGTAAAGAACAGGAATTTCTTTAATGCCTCCACAAAAGCTACTACCCTCCTCAAGTGTAATTCACAATATAATTCATATATAAAGCCAACTAAGATTTGTTTTTTTTCTAACTACTCTTGCAAATGATGCAGTGATGGAATGGGGGTATGGAGAATGCTGGTGAGCACTTACAAGACATTACATACCTTGTTATTCTTCAAACAAATCTGTAAGATGTGTGGTAATAATCCCATCTTACCCATGAGAAAATTATCAGAGAGGTAAGAAAGCTTAGACTGTAGATAACCAGAAAATGGTTGAACACAAATTTAACGGGCTCTGAAGTCTATATATACTCTTTCCATGGAATCAGCTGCTCTTTCTGATATTACAGAGCTGAAACAGCCTGTACCTAACTGGTCCAACTCTCATTTTATAGATGAGGACCAAGAAGAGAGAGATGGCTAGAGAAATAAACTGTCCAAGTTTATACTGTTAGATAAATATTAGAAGAAAAAGAACTCCCAAGTTCCATTTCAGTGCTGTTTCCAGTATTCTATTTTTTTTTCTCTCTTCAAAAAAAAAAAAAAAAAAGAACAGCAGACTATCAATTACATCCAGGACGTTCAGGACTTCCTAATCTTGTTCTTACAGAAAAGCTTGCAGAGAGAGAGAGCAAAACTAAAATAAGATCTAGAGAATAATACAAGATAATCAATCAGCACATATTAACAAATAAGTAAAGGTTTCTTCCATATTCTACATAGGCTTTTAAAAATTTTAAGTAGTGTTTCCTAGTTTTACTTATTAAAGGAAAACAAGACTCTTGTTATTGAAATAAACACATGTAATTTTCTACTTTAACAAAATGTTTAAGTGCCAAATTAGTGTTCAAATGTATATGTCGGGGCGCCTGGGTGGCTCAGTCATTAAGCGACTGCCTTCACCTCAGGTCATGATCCCAGGGTCCTGGGATGGAGCCTCGCATTGGGCTCCCTGCTCTGCGGAAGCCTGCTTCTCCCTCAACCACTCCCCCTGCTTGTATTCCCTCTCTCGCTGTCTCTCTGTCAAATAAATAAAATAAAATTAAAAAAAAATGTATATGTCATAGACATACACAGAACTTCATAAATTGTAAAGAATTTCAAATATTCAGAAAATGTCAACCATCTTCCCACTATCCTTGTGTGCTTTCCCAGCATCAAATCTCCTCTCCCTCCGAGAAGTTATCTGTATCCTGGATTTGTCATCATACTGATGAATTTCTTCACATTCTTATTATCCACTTATGAATCTCTAAACTATATAGATAGAAGCTCACAGATAATATAATAAAGTATATGTACACAGATGTCATCAAAAATGGCAAAGCAGGGAACTCCAAAACTCCATCCCTTCACAAAAGCAATGAGTAAGCTGGGAAAAACTTTTTTGGAACTCTGGAATCAAATCTCTTCCCCGAGAAATACTGACTTCATTTGCAAGGGAATGGACAAAGGTGCTCTGAAAAACAGTGGAGGCCTTGATAAAAGGCAATTGAGAGGAGACTGGAGAAATCATTGGACATAAAGATTAAACCACAGGTTGGTTTGTTGGCTCGTTTTCCAGAGAAAACAAAAAAGGGAGATAGGTAGAAGTAACCTGCCTGCGAGTCAGAAGAAACCTCAAGCACTGATTTAAAAAACCATCCCTCCAAAGGAACTCAAATTTGATTAGTTTAATCTGTGGAGCAATTAATGCCTGAGGGACTGCTGAAAAAAGGAGTGTAATTAGCACTAG